GGAAATATTGATCAGCATGATGGGCAGTGGACTCTGCATGCCAGTGAAGAAGAGTTTTAAGGAGGAATTATAAGGCAAACAATGAAATACTCTGCAGGAGGTCAGACTAGTTGATCATAATGGGGCTTCTTGGTCTTAAAAATCTGACTCTATAATTGGCTTTCTAGTCCCTATCTTTCTACAAAGGTAGTGTGGACTGGAGGAACGAACACAAAGTTGAGTTAGGAAGTCCTGTGTTTTAATGCACTGCCTTGGAATTTACCATGTGGCTGTGGGAAAGTTACTTCACCTTCTGTCTCCGGGCTTGTCTACAAGGAGGGAATTGACTGGAATAGCTATTCTGGAACTTCTCTGTGTGTGGACACTCTGGGCTGGAGTAAAAGTCACTATTGTTTCAGAATAATTACTCCGCTTCCACAGTGGGGTAACTATTCTGGAATCGAGTGACTTTTATTCTGGAATCGAGTGTCCACACAGGGAGCTATCTGCAACAGCTGTTATGGTCAGTTTCCTGTGTCTCCCCATGCCTAGTACTGCAGTATGCTCACCCATCCACCTCACAGTAATGTTGTCAGGATTCTAAAATAATCTGTACAGTGTTTATCTCTGAGTGACCCCTGCTTATCATGATAATCGTAATTGTCTCAGTGTTGCTCTGTGCTCCCCCAGTTATTTGTTGCATCTACCTCTTGTTTCTCATCTTATACTTAAATTGTAAGCTCTTCAGGGCAGGGATCACCTTTTGTCGTATGTTTGTATAGTGTCTAGCAAAGTGGGCTGGGAACCCTTGGTTGCTACCCCAGACCAAAGCAATAATAATGAAGTGCTTTGAACATGTGAAGTACTACATTCATGCTAGAACAATTAGATTATTCTACACTAGTTATTGTACAGGGCCCATCACCATAGTATCTGAACACCTAGAAATGGTCCCTCCATGTCCTGGCAAGGGTGAATAAAGGTCAACAAGAACTCAGCATCACGTTCTATCAGTGGTGTATTTTCCCCTAATGGTGGGGGTGGAGAGAAACGACTGGCATCTAAGTTCTAGTTATATGGAAAGTGTCTGTGCAATTCTTGATTCAACATTGAGGTTGGTGAAATGGAGCCTGGTCTTATTGTCTCAAAAAAAGCCATGCAAAGCAATAGCGAAAGGAGCGCTTGTTTTGGGCAGCTCTGCTAGGAAATTTTATGCACGGCCATGAGCGTGGTGGGCTCCCCCCAGGTCACAGCACAGAGACCACCATCACGCTTATCACCAATCTGCTTCCTGATGAGTGGCATGAGGAAGGATGGTTGAGTGCATAGGGTTGGGGTGTGCCCCCTAGGCCTGTGGTTTTCAAACTTTTTTTCTGGCGACCCAATTGAAGAAAACTGTTGATGCCCGCGACCCAGCGGAGCTGTGGATTAGGGTTTTGGGGTGTGGGAGGGGCTCAGGGCTGGGGCAGGGAGTTGGGGTGCCAGAGGAGGTCAGGACTCTGGGCTGGGGGTGCAAGCTCTGGGGTGGGGCCAGGGATGAGGGGTTTGGGTTGCAGGAAGGGGCTTCAGGTTTGGGGGGGGCTCAGGGCTGGGGTAGGGGATTGGGGTACAGGTTTGGGGCACGGGCTTACCTCCGGTGACTCCTGGTTAGTGGCGCAGCTGGGGTGCAGAGGCAGGCGTGCTGCCTGTCCTGGCATCGCGGACCATGCTGCGCCCCAGAAGCGGCCAGCAGCAGGTCCGGCTCCTAGGTGGAAGTGCGCAAGTGGCTTTTCGCGGCTCTCGCTAACAGGCATCTCCCCCTCCTCCAGCTGCCATTGGCCATTGCTCGCGGCAGGGGCAGCACGTGGAGCCCCATGCCTCCCCCCTGCCTAGGAGCCGGACCTGCTGGCTGCTTCCGGGATGCAGCGCGATGTCGGAACAGGTAGGGACTATCCTGCCTTAGCTGGGCAGCATTGCCAATGGGACTTTTAATGGCTCAGTCAGCGATGCTGACCAGAGCGGCCATGACCCAGTGCCTTCCATTCCCAGAACTGGTTTGAAAACCACTATCGTAGGCAACTTGTTGTCAATTCCCCGCTCAGCTGCAGATTGCCTGGGTGGCCTTGGGTAAGTGACTTAATCTATGCTGTGCCTCAGTTCCCCAAATACTTCATGGGGCTGTTGTGAGGCCAAAATCCACAATAAGATGCATGGGTGATGGGGGCCATGTAAGTATCTAGACAGACAGAAAGCTTTAGAGGGGGTTCCTGGGCAACAGGGATGAGGTGCTTGTGAGGAGAGTTTTCAGGGCTCGTGATACGTCAGTTTAGTGGTTAAAGAGAGGCCCCGATCTCCAGTGCAATTATCTGTCCACCAGCACCCAATTCACTAACCAAAGAAAAATACAATGCTAAGAAAATGAGCTGTCTAATGTAACTGTGATGGCTCCGGGATGAAACCCCGAGATAGGCAGCCTGGTGTCTGTTGCTGTTTCACGGCATGACAGTCTGTCACTTTCCCACTTCTTTTGAGGGGTTGGAGTTTTTTTGAGCTTTCATTTCTAATCTGGGAAACCACCATAAATTCAAAACCAGTGATCCAAATCCAGGGTTCCTTGACCACATTTCTCTGTGTATTTTCAGTGCTGCCAGCCCATCGCATGTGGAGTTAATGGCAGGTACATAAGCATTGCTTTTTAGTACTTCACATACTGTGATCCTTTACACTGTGTTTAATAAAAGCATGTAGAGCAATGCTAAGATGAGCTCTTGCAAAAAATGGGCCCAAGGGTCTCATCCTGTAATGAGCTCTGTCCAGGAGTGAATGAGGATCCATCTGGGAGAGCTCACAACACAATAGGTGTATGCTGAATGGAGTTGAATGGTTCTGTTTACTATAATGATCCAAGGATAATCTTATTTAGTGTGTTTGTTGATCTCAAAGCTCTTTACTAAGAAAGGGCAATCTTATTATCCCCATTTTCCAGATAGAGAAACTGAGGCAGAGAGTGAAATTATTTGCCCAACATAACCCAGCAAGCAGGGAGTAGAGCCAGGAACAGAACCCAAGTCTCATAAGTCCCAGGCCAGGGCTTTAACCATTATGCTCCATTGCCTGGCTGTTCCTCTCTGCCCTCTTTGCTCTTCATTGCTCCCCTCTAGTCCATCCAAAGTGCAGCTGCTAAAATTATTTCCGCCAGCCATTCACTTCACACCTCTATTCAGATACCTTCAGTGGCTCCATCTTGCCCACCAGAGTAAGCTCAACTCCCTTAGCCTACCTTCAAATCCTGGCAAAAGTTGGCCCGAGCCCACAGCTTATATCTGACGTCTTAGCTCCAGGTGACACTTTGCCAAGGATGGCAGTCTTGAGGGCTTCTTTACTAGGATCCTCCATGCTGCCCTCTATGCATGGCATGACCTTCCAATGCAGGGGCCCCAGGCCCATTCAGAACCCTTGCCCAGAAACACTAACCCAGGGCAAATGCCCTCTCAAGCACAATGTATGCATAAAGGGAAATTTACAAGGCTTTCTTGGTCATCCCCCTGACCATCCCCAGCCCCTGACCCCAGTGCCCCCCCCCACTAGCTCCCAGTATCCCGCATTTCCATCCCCAGCTTCCAGTCCCAGTCTCCTTGCCCAGTCAATCCCACTCTCCTCCCAACACCCAATCCCACTTTCCTTCTCTCCCTCACACTAGCCACCAATCCCAGTCTTCCTCCACCACAGCTTCTTGTCCCAATCTCCTTCCCACACCTTCCCCTCTAGGTCCAGCTCTTGTCCCCTCTGCATTTGAACCTGGTGACTTCCTCTTCCACACTGCCTGGTTGCCAACAGAGAAGTCACGGAGAACATAGGAGAGGCAGGGTCCCTGCTCTCGGTTCTGGTGCCCGGCCCCACCTTGGTCCTGAGCAGCCATTACAGGGAAAGTCCAGCTTGTCCCATGTAGCCCTGAACTGGAAGGACCATACTTAATCACTTTGTGGGGATGCACAGTCTGGTCAACGGTACTAGGACCTGAGAGAGGCTCCAACATGCACAGTGAGGTCAGAATCTTCAGGGATTTTAACGGCTCAGCGCTGAGAAGTCTCTACTGAGCATGTGGGAATTGGGGTTTTTCAAAGGCTTATAATTTGGCCAAATTTGGGAGAATTTTCATGGGAACACCGAAAGGCACACCCCCTGACAAGTTTCAAGTCCTTGCCCCAAAATATAGGGGTCCAAGAGCTTTCCAAAGGAATTTTTTTATCATGGGCAAAACAAAATACTTTCTTCTCGTCTCAGAAATGAGTCAGGAATACAGCCTAGTCCCCAGTGCCTTTAACCACAAGGGAACATCCTTTCTTGTCTTGTAGCCTGCTGCCCTATGCACTGTCCAGCCTGGGCACAGAATGAGGCAGGGGACCGGTAGAGGAACTAGCAGGTGATCATGTAGTTAAAGACTGTACTGTCATGCTCAGGTACATGGGCACTTAATTAAAGTGGCACCAGCAATCTAACTTTTGAGTGCTTGACTTTGTGATCTTAATGTTCTTGTACGTAGATTTTTGTAGGCAGTATTTAGGTCTGTCTACATAGGTGTGTGTGTCTGTGGCGGACGCATGGAGAGAGAACTGACTAATATGAAGAAAGAAAAAAATGCTGACAACACAAGTGCAAAAACGGATGGCACCAGTCTACATCTCTTTCGGGCTATTTTATCTCTTATTTATCACTTTATCTGCATCTGATCATTTGGTCTGGGATTCTGATATCTGGGTAGTCGGTTCATCACGTGTATTTTCCTTTCTGCCTCCCCCCCATGACAGCTTGAGGATGTGGCATAGAAAACGTCAAATGTCAGCTCCTCCTGACCCAGAACCGCAAGGAAGGGTGGAGAAGCCACATCTTCGCTGCAATGGAAATGATGGGAGTGATTGAAAACCCTTATAAAAAGGAGCTGTAGCTGGCTGATCGATATATTCGCAGTGAAAGACCTCCTGCAGAAGGATACTCACCTACTGCTTCAGACAGTCCAGCTCTGCAGCGGAAGAGAGATCGCCATGGCTTTTGCAAGACACCCCTCACTGGTGAGTACTTTTATTTAACCCAGGTGGCCACAAATCTCACTCCTTTGGACACCAAGGGCGAGGGTGAGCATCCATCCCATATTTAAAGGGACAGTCCCGTTTTTGGGGACTTTTTCTTATATAGGCGCCTATTGACCCCAGCCCCCTGTCCCGTTTTTCACAGTTGCTATCTGGTAACCCTACCAAGGGCCCACTTATGCCAGCGGTGCGTATGAGTGACTCCTCTTGCCTGCAGTGGGAGCTACTCACAGGCAACATGATTAAGCCCTCGGGCAGTGGGACGAGTTTGGGATTTTCTTTAAAGCTTTCTCAAGTGGATTTAGGGCTGGTGAGAAGTGCTGGGTTGACAGCCCTGGGGACTTACCTCTGCCATTTCTCCACTGGTGGTGCAAGCTGCCCTTCGCTGTTTCAATAACCTACCCCAAGCCTGTTTTGAAAGGAGCCCTTCCGAGGGGGACAGGACTGTGCGTTATTGTTATTTAGTTGTAATGACAGTGCCACTTACTGGTCCGGATTGGGAGTGGCACTGTATAAGTTCATCGACAGAGACAGTATTGGGACACTAGATGGGAAGGGCTCTGAGTGACTACAGAGAATTCTTTCCCAGGTGTCTGGCTGATGGATCTTGCCCGCATGCTCGGGATCAAATTAACCCCCGTATTTGGGGTCAGGAAGGAATTTTCTCCTGGGTCAGATTGGAGGAGACCCTCAGTTATTTTCACCTTTCTCTGCAACATGGGGCCTGGGTCACTTGCAAGTTTAAGCTAGTGTAAATGGTGGATTCTCTGTAACTTGAAATCTTTAAACCATGATTTGAGGATTTCAGTAACTCAGCCAGAGGTTAGAGGTCTATTCCAGGAGTGGGTGGATGAGGTTCCGTGGCCTGCAATGTGCAGCAGGTCAGACTTAGATGATCATGGTGGTCTCTACTGGCCTTAAAGTCTATGAGCCCCTGCCTCGACCAGCTTACAATCTAAGCAGACAAAGGTTGGGTGGGGAAAGAGAAGCTGACAGGAAGGCGATTTGCCTAAGGACACAAAGCAGGTCAGTGTCAGAGCTGAGAACTGAACCCTGACTTTCAGCTCAGTGCCCTTATCCACTGATTTTTCAAAAGGGCTGCATACCCAGGGGAGTCAATGCGAGCCTGATGGAGCTACGCAAAGCTTCAGCGAGGCAGGCACCTCTTCCCACAGTGCCGCCAAAGCCGCTCAGCTGTGACTGTCCCCCTGTTGGGTTGCCGGGCACGTTTAGTCCTTGGCACCTGTCCGGATGCTGGGTTGCCCCGCCACCCGGCTGTAACCTTTGACGAATGTGGGTTTGAATCCTGTCTTCAACAGGAATGTGTCTGGGTTTTCCCCTTCCACAGCCCGGGATGGCAGCAACACTCTTGCAATGTTCGCTGTTTTGGTGCGTCAGCGTCTCAGCTTTTACTCCAAAGACAAAGGGAGTGTCTAGCACCGCAAAGCTTGAGCACATGACACGAGTGCACCCCAACCGCCCCCCAAACCAGAAGCCAAATCAAAAGCAGCCAATAATAATCATTATTATTTTAAAAAAAATCTCATGATTGTCGGGGCCTGACCCGTGATTGCCGAGTGCTTTGGGATGGCAGGGCTGTCTTTGTGTGTGCCACAAAACCGCAGGACCCAGCTGGCACGATTGCCAACTCTGCCAAAGGCAGGCTGGGGGCTGGAAAAGAAGGGGGTAATTCCTCCAGCTCCGGGCTGAGTTTCTTTGGCAGAGCGGTGCAGGAGGCCTCAGGGCTTGCAGGGGCTGTTTGAGGGCGGAGGGACTTTGGCAGAGTAGCACCATGGCCAAGGATGTAGCCTAGCAGGGATGATTGCAGGTCAGGAATCCTGCAGGCTGGGGCAGGGCTGTAGGGAGGCCTGGGCTTGACAGAGCTGGGGATGCTACTTGCCAGTTAGAGCTGATGTGCTGGGGCAGAGAGGTGTGGAGGATACTTCGGCCTCTCTGAAGCTTAGCTTAACCTTGAGCATCTAAATTAGGCCCTCCCTGATTGCTGGGACACTTTGGAGAACCAGGTCCCACAGTGTGGATTTAAAAGCTTAGCATTGTACTCCCTTTTTGAAAGCTTCAGCCAAGAGAGAATGCGCAGCATTCCTCAGGTTCCCGCGTGTGATATAACCTTTCCAGGAGCGATTCGATCGCCTGAATCTTCAGCCTCGAATCTCATCCAAACCTGTTCACCCAGCGCTCACTTCATGTCCTGGGCCATGTGTAGACATGGATCTGCAGAAAATCCCCCTGATCTGAACACCCCTGGACTTTGGGAAACGATCGGATAGGAACGATCCAGTCCTGGATCCAAATCCAACCGCTGTGGAGCTGGCTTTCTCTGATCCTACTTTTCTGCTTAACAGGGATAGAGATTTTCTTTGGCTGGTCTGTCTCTCATTGGCTTGGATTTGCTCCTTTGCCTTTACCCTGCTTAGAGCACCACTATCTGATTCTGTTGTTTGTCCTTAGCTTTGCTCCTTGTGATGGTGTCTGCCTCCCCCCTTGCTGGATTTCACTGTGCCCTCCTCCCCAGCATTTCCAATGTTTGGTTATGTCCCTGGAGCCCCCTGCATGCACAGAGAGACCAGGGAAAATGGACTGGACTTTGCATTGAAAAGTACTCTACCAGATGCAGTAAAAGGGAGTAGGGGAAAGGGAGAAGTGTAAAAGAGACTGGGACAATGCAAGTGGGCAGCTGTGGCCTTCTGGATTGAGCTAGGGAGTCAAGCATCCTGGGTTCTGTTTCTGCCAGCGCTGGCTTTGGGCAAGTCACTGTAGCCAAAATGTTCAAATGTGGGTGTCTAAAGTTAGGCACCTAAATCCATATTTAGGCTCCTAAGTGGCTCGATTTTGCAGAGGTGCGGACCATCTAGCTGCTTCTCTTCCATATCCAGCCTTGTGCATCCTAGCTTGATAATAATCAACCCCCAAGAGCAGGACCTGTCATAGTTCTTAGAAGAGGCATCTCTACTGAGTGCAAATATTTATTTTAAAGACAAAGATAACCATAAACAAAGATTTTCTTGAAAACTCTGGGCTCTGTCCACCTTTGAATTGTCTTACATTGGAAGTAGCATAAGCCTCTGCTGCTGTGCTGGCCAGTATGTTATACCCAGCTGAGCTAGAGCTGCGGGTGAATGGTAACCATAATCCAGCGCTGATTCCCCGGGATGGATGAATTGGCCTTCACTCTAAATCACTGTTCACCGTGCTTCGCTTGTGCTTTGCTCTTCCTTCACAAGAGATTCCCGAGTGAGGTGTCACTGGAGTTGTTTGATGCCCTCGTCAATTCCAAACTCTGATCTGAATAGAATCAAGAAAGATGTTTCTCTCTTTCAGTTCAGGACACTGCTGCTGATCCTGGTGCTCTCGGCTAAACTGGCCCATGGGAGGGTTGTACGGACTGTACCCAACAAGGAAGGAGGCACTAATGAGAAAATGAGCGACGACTGCCAGACCCAAAAGAATTCCAGATTCCCTCTAAGTGTGAAAGTCAACATACACATCAGCAGCCCCAGTCATGCTATCAGAATGGCTCATGATGTCAGGAACCGGTCTATATCTCCTTGGGATTACAGGTAACAGGCACATCCCATTGCCTGGAAATGCACTGGCCACGCTGCACTGCACAATTATCCGCATGTTCCCATTGTGAACAAGAAGATCGTTGTGTGCTTCCAGCATTTGCAAAGGGTATTGGGTGAATTTGCCATGGAACTCCACTAGGCGTCCTCAGCCAGAGCACTGCTACATTTATCTGATACAGAGGAATTAAAAACACTCTCCTAAATTTTCAGCCATTTCTAGGAAATCACTCTAAACTAAATAACACAGGGGGACTCCTTTTACCGTGTCTCCTAATGCAGATCAGTAGGCATGTAAGGGGGAAAAAGGATACAAATATAAAATGAATAGAAGGAAGTACCTTTGCACAGTGCATAAAGAACCTAGGAAACTCACTGCTACAGGATATTCTAGCCTCTGTCGGGGATAGGATCATGGGCTAGATGGACCCTTGGTCTGATCTTGTGTGGTCACTCCAATATTCCTATTCTCTGGGCAAATTTACAGTAAACATAGCCATGTCCAGACTAAGAATAGCATCTATTTATTAAGTAGAATAAAATTACAAGGCCTATCAATCTGTTTGCTTCAGGCTAAAAATTGATCACAAGCTTAGGCTCATGAATTAGCCCCAAGATTGTATACTGCGTGGTTCCTAAGTGCATCATCTCTATGCTTCTCCAGAAACATCCTTCACGGACCTCATTTGGAAATAGGGTGACCAGTTGTCCCAATTGTATAGGGACAGTCCCGATAGTTGAGGCTTTGCCTTATATAGGGGCCTAATGCCCCCCACCCTCACCCTGATTTTTCACACTTGCTGTCTGGTCACCCCATTTGGAAATAGGTTATTGGGTGAGAATAAACACTGATCTGTTGAGTGATTCATGGAGGAGACTCAGACCCTGCCACTCTGCATTGTCCTCCGAGGAATAGCAATTTCACAGAATTCATTCTCTTTGTGTCTTGATTCACAGCATGACCAAGGATCCCAACCGGTTCCCCGAAGTGATCGCCGAGGCCAAGTGCCGCCATTACAGCTGCGTGAACGCCTTGGGGCAGGAGGACTACAGCATGAACTCCGTCCCCATCCAGCAGGAGATCCTTGTTCTCCGACGGGAGCAGAGAGGCTGCCAGCACACCTACCGGCTGGAGAAGCAGCTCATCACCGTAGGCTGTACCTGTGCTGTGCCTCTTCTCCATCATCAGTCCTAAGAGGGTCAGGACAAGGAAGACACATGGACAGCTAGCCAATGTAACAAATGACATGTGTAACAAATTCGTGATTACTCTGATCTGTCAGATCCTCATGAAATTTAACCTGAATTTCAATACAGAATTGGGGGTGAGGGTGGGGATTTTTTCCAGCGCTGATTATTAGTGTTATGAATTAATATTTACATTATGGTAGGGCCTCCAGGCTCTGATCATGGACCCCTTTGTGCTAGGTGCTGTACTGACATAAAAGTAGAAATGGACCAGGCCCTGAAGAGCTTGAAGTCTAAGAAGACAAGCAACAAACAAAAGGAAGGGAAGCAGGAGATGTAAATTCTGATTTGTGAGAGAGCACAGCTATGTTCCCAAATCATTTTGTGTGTGTACATGTCTGTATCTGACATAGAAGACTGAAAATCGATGTAAGACTAGCTCTACACTAGGAAGAGTTTGCCAGGACACCCTCTGAGTGCTTTTGCCAGTATGGCTTATACTGGTTCAGCAAGGGAAATAAACTATACTGGCAAATGCATCTTTATGCTGATATAACTGCATCTATACTAGGGCTTTTTCTTATAGAAATATTGACACCCCCCCCCCCAAAAAAAATCCCACCTCTAATTGACTTTGCTATTCCAGCAACTGTTTCTAGTGTAGCTCTGACTAAGAGACTTTGGGCCTGATTCTGATCTCATTTACACTGGTTTTATCCTGTTGTAACTCCTGTGATTAAGTGAGAGAAGTGGACCCACTGGCTTCTGCTGGAGTTTAGCAATAAATATGACATAAATGAAAAACTCCGGGAGAAATGGCAAAGAACTGTTACATGTTTATATTTCTATTTATATGATCTATTTATATGACTATATTTATGGCCCTGTAAGTGCTCAGAGTATAAGGACATTGTATCTGTTTATTTGTATTTATTCAATAAAGACAAGGACAGGCTCCTGTTTGCTACTGTTTTCTTTCTTTTAAAAAATGTTATTTTCCTGGCAGGGAAAGAAATCAGGCAATTAAAAGTTGTTAGTATTCCAGTAGGGACCTACAGATCCCAACTAAAACCAGGGCCCCGTGGTGATAGATGTTGTACATATACATAGTAAGAGACAATCCCTGCCCTGAAATTACGGTCTAAATAGGTAATGCATGAAAATGATGGGATGGAAAAGAGAGGCCCAGAGACTTGCCCAAGGTCACACAGGAGGTCAGTGGCAGAGCTGGGAGTAGGTCTTGTGAATCCAGTTCAGTGCCCTCGCACTCCGAACGACACTGCCTCTCACCTTGTCAGAAGCTGTGTTCAATATTACACTGATGTGAGGAGAATGTGAAGTAAATAGGGTTGAGACTAAACAATAATAATTTGGCTTTTGGCCTTGCTTTTAGTTTCAACAGGCTAAACAAGCAAGCATTTTCCGAAGCCCTTCACACCAGTCAGGCTATCCCTATACGCCAAAATGATTCCTCCCCTCTTCCCCAACTACTGTTCTATATGCTGATCGAAACCCCTTCTTCTCCTAACCCCTATCTTCACATGCCGATGGAGTTCCCTCTTTCGCCCCCCTCTTCTTGTCAAATTTAATTATACTTGTAGTGCCCCTCCCTCCCCTGGTATCACCGTATTAGCCCCTTATTTTCAAGGCTACCAGCTTGCGACTTAGGTGTCCTGGCAGCTGCTTACCAGCCATGTCAAAGTGTGCAGCATGCTTGCCTTATAAGAGTACAGGCAGGTATGCCGGCTTGGGGTGTACTATGAGAGAAAGAGAGAGAGAGAGAAACTCCCATTGTGCCCTCTTCAACACAAGACCCACCAAACTCACTGCTACAGGATATTCTAGCCTCTGTCGGAGACAGGATCATAGGTAGATGGACCATTGGTCTGATCTTGTGTGGTCACTCCAATATTCCTATTCTCTGGGCAAATTTACAGTTTAAGCGTCTTTATTTTTTCATCTCCTCTTGCCAAGGCCATGGCTGAGTAGAAATAGGATAAATTGACCTTCTGCACGACACCCTTTGATTTTTAAAAGCCACAATCCGAAAGGTCGAAGGCCTTGATCCAAAGCCCCTTGAGGTCAGTGAAATGACTCCTGCTGACTACAATGGTGGCTTTGGCTCAGGACTGACATGAGATAAACTGGATGGTTTGAGGTGTAAGGGTACGTCCACGCTGCCATTGGGAGGTGTGACTGCAGCAGGTGAGGACATACCCCCGCTAGCTTTGATCTCACTAGCTCGCTAAAGATAGCAGTGAAGTCACAGTGGCATGCACTAGCCGCCCCGCTATGATCCTTCCTGGAGCCCTGGGCATGTACTTGTGAGGCTAGCCTGAGCCGTAGCTTGTGCTGGAGCTACCATGGTTACCCTGCAGTTTTTAGTGTTGTAGCTGTGTTGGTCCCAGGATATGAGAAAGAGAAGGTAGGGGAGGTCCCTGCAGCATCTGAACCCCTTATGCTTAACCATCTAACCCTTTATTGCCCACTTCAGTTTAAGTAGTCTCCGACAGCCTTTGTGAACCTCTTTATGCTTAACTGTCCCACCTTGTAGTTAGTTCAGACACTGGTTACCTTCCCCAGACCTGAGGAAGAGCTCTGTGTAGCTTGGAAGCTTGTCCCTTCCACCAACAGCAGTTAGTCCAATAAAAACGACCTCACTCACTTTTTCAGTCTGCTATGTTTAGCAAGCTACTGGGCCTACAGATGCTTCCGTCACACCTTTGTGCTGCGAGACTCACAGCCATTCACGCCTGCAATTGTTACTTATTACATGAATTGCAGTAATGTTATGAATAAAGATGCACATTTTATGCACCTTGTCCAAAAAATATGCTAAACCTTCCTCCTTAAGGTTTTGGAATAAATTGATATATTAAACAGTAATAAGTCACAGGTCCCGGCGGTACTCACCCAGGATGTCTGAGGGAATTCAAATATGAAACTGCAGAACTACTGACTGTGGTATGTAACATATTGCTTAAATCAGCCTCTGTACCAGATGATGAAGAATAGCTAATATGATGCCAAATTTTAAAAAAGGCTCCAGAGGTGATCCCGGCAACTACAGGCTGGTAAGCCTGACTTCAGCACTGGGCAAATTGGTTGAAACTACAGTAATGAAGAGAATTATCAGACTTATAGATGAACATGATTTGTTGGGGAAGAGTCAACACGGGAAATCAGACCTCACCAATCTATTATAATTCTTGGAGGGGGTCAACAAACATGTGGACAAAGGTGATCTGATGGATATAGTGTACTTGCACTTTTAGAAAGCCTTTCACAAGGTCCCTCACCAAAGGCTGTTAAGCAAAGTAAGCAGTCATGGGATAATGGGGAAGGTTCTGTCATGGATCAGCAATTGGTTAAAAGACAGGAAACAAAGGGTAGGAATAAATGGTCAGTTCTCAGAATGGAGAGAGGTAAATAGCGGTGACCCCCAGGGATCTGTTCTGGGAACAGCGCCGTTCAACATATTCATAAATGATCTGGAAAAATGGGTAAATGGTGAGGTTTCAAAGTTAGCAGATGATATAAAATTATTTAAGACAGATAAGTCCAAAGCAGACTGTGAAGAGTTACAAAGGGATCTCACAAAACTGGGTGACTGGGGAATTGTAGTGGGGTGGTCACCCTGCTCCAGCCCTGAAGGGGTTAAAACCACCCTGGGAGATGGCTGCCTGGGGGAGCCAGTAGTAAAAGCAGCCCTGGAGAGGGCTGAGGCTGGGAACAGCTAGGCTGATTGGGGGAAGCAGCCACAGCTGCGGCCATACCTGGCCCTTATAAGAGGGTTGTGGGCCAGAAGGTGGAGGAGTCTCATGCTAGCCCTGGCGTGGAAAGGGCTAGCTGCCTGGGGGCAAGGTACCTCAGGTGGAGCCATGCTGGGGGAGCGAGCTCGCTCGCGCCTGGTTAAAATCCCAGGCTGCAGGCCTTGGTGAAGGCCTACAAAGGTACTGGGGCTGCAGAGGGCTTGCCCAGAGGTAGGCAAAGGCAGCAGGTCCTACCCTTTGCCAGTGATGAGTGGCTATTACACTGCAGTCTGCCCCAGTGAGTGGGGGCTAGATGATGACTGGCAGTAGCCACTGAGGCAAGGGGGGTTTAGAGGTTTGGGGGTCCCCTGGGAGGGGAGACCCAGAGCAAGGGGGTACTGCTGGGGCAGACCCCCAAGGTAAGGGGCACTGGGGTCCAGGAGGGACACAGGGGCCAGCGACAGGTGAGGAGCCTGCAGAGGGCGCTCCCTACACTAGAGAGCTAATTCCCAGGCCGATCAGTAGGAGGCGCCCCGCCGGTGAGTTGGCGCTTCGCTACAGGAACAAAAGGGCAGATGAAATTCAATGTGTATAAATGCAAATTAGAAAACATAATCCCAGCAGTACATACAAAATGATGGGGTCTAAATTAGCTACTGCCACTCAAGAAAGGGATCTTGGAGTCATTGTGGATAGTTCTCTGAAAATGTCCACTCAATATTCAACAGCAGTCAAACAAGCTACCCAAATGTTAGGAACCATTAGGAAAGGGATAGATAATAAGATGGCAAATATCATAATGCCCCGATATAAATCCACAATAGGCCCACAGCTTGAATACTGCGTGCAGTTCTGGTTATCCCATCTCAAAAAATATGTATACGAGAATTGGAAAAGGTACCGCGAAGGGCAACAAAAATGATTAGGGTCAGTGCTTAATTTGTAAACAGAGAGGTACTGGGCCTCAAGCAATTTTTTTTTTACTTTCATAACTGATGCAGCAAGCCCAGAGGTGCCGGGGCTATGTCCTGCCAAGCCTAGAGGTGCTGGGGTTCAGGCCTGCCATGCCCTGGCAAAAATTAAACATTGATTCGGGGTATGGAACAGCTTCTGTATGAGGAGAGATTAAAAAGACTGGGCCTCTTCAACTTGGAAAAGCGACGACTAGGGGGAGAGATGACAGAGGGCTATAAAATCATGAGTGGGGTGAGGAAAGTGAATAAGGAAATCTTATTTACTCCTTCACATAACGCAA